TTTCAGAGCAGCTTTACAGAAAATGCAATACAATTTAGAGCGATCTGTTAAGAGACCAAGAGTGTCCAAGTTATGCATTTCAGAAATGTGCATATACAAATCACCCAGTTAGCTAACATCATGTGCTCATTTAAGGCCAATTTTGAAAATAATGATTTTACAAATTATAGAAAAATTGGCATTGGTGCATGTTGATTCAGAAATATAAATGTAAATTATTAATCCTATATTGTAGAAATTGGTCAATTCGAGGAAGGCCTCAAGTCGTGTTTATTTGACAAATATTTCTTTGATTGGAAGCATTCAGTCACTCACGAGGTTCTTCAACTATTGTAATAACATAAAAAAATCAATTATTGGTGTATTGTTATTTGGTGCTGCATCCATTCATTGTGGTATAATAATGTGATTTCTGGCCTATAGTTGTTCTATGATCTCAAAATGACCAAATGTAACACTTGCATCATCAGGAGTGCAGAATCCAACATCTGACGTTATTAGGTAAGGCACTTTGAAATGGATTTTCTCACATACACGCTTTGTTTTTCTTCTTCTGTGGTTTATTCATTGAGACTGCCTTTATCTCACAGGGTATCTCTGTTTCTATCTTTCTGTTTCGCCATCTTTCACTCCCTGCTGGCTTCTGCCGCCAACACTGGAGCCATATCATTTAACACATACTGTCACTGACACTGAAATCTATAGGACGCTTGTCTAGCAGGGTTCCCACACTTCTTGACCAGTGCATTTCCATGAATTATTTAGTTGTTAATGATTATTGAATAAGGGTTTTTAAAAGTAACTATATAGAATGCACTCACAAAAAGCTATTTTTATACCCAATTAAATATTTGAGCGCAACCAAAAATCATTTTGCTAATTGATGTTATACTTTTTCCAAGCAGGAATTCACATATTTCCAGATTTTAATAGTGGGAACCGTGTTTTGGACACAAGTTCTAGGTTTTGAATATAATCTACTTCATACTGGAAATAGTTAATTAGCCGCTAAATTATTCAGTTAATTTATATTAATCTAATGAGTTCCCTTGTTTCTGAATATTTCATAAGTGTGTCAAAATATAAGTATGTTCCAATAAAAATGTGCCTCCATTAATTTGACATCTGTATAATTGACCATCAGTGGAGGTGATTGAATGTTACAATTAAATACACTAATTTATAGTGATGAAACCTGTATAAAAATGTATTTGCCAGCCTGACTGGAACATGAGGATTAAAAATAGCTTGTATTGTTGCTTTATTCCCTTATGAGAATTCAAACAATACAATCAAATATGATGTGATCTCATATTATTCATTTATAGGATGCAATAATGGCTGTTCCTGGGTGAATAATTAGAACAGAACGCTATTTTTTTTTTTCAGCCATTTACTCCCTTGGGAGTTTAGGGCTGCGGTTAGATTCAGCATTCCCTCATTTCCAATGGTAATTACATGTGCAATCCAGTTAACGGCACTTCAGTTTGCATGTAAAATTACTACAACCTGTTATGTTAATATCACATTAACATTCTCATTTTACACCATTAGGAGAGTGTAATGAAATGACTGTAGAACTCGCATACAGCAATCCCAGCCAATATACCAGCACAAAATGCTGTTCCAAATTTAATTCCATTTTTGGCCACACAGAGGCAGCATTTATCAACAAAACACTAGAACTGAAACCCTGATTTTCTTGCTCATGCTTCATACTAAATGTTCAAGAACCCTCAGCTAAAGGAATTAAGTCCAACTTCGATTAAATGATAATGACTCACTTGATTTTACAGCAAGCAACACTGTAGTGTACAGAGGCGTATTGCATTCACTTGAAGAAAAAAAAAAATCTACTCTGTTTTTCTGAATTAACGAGTTAATTTTTCATGAGAAAAAAATTTGCTCTGTTTTTCTGAATTAATGAGTTAATTTTTCATGAGAAAAAAAGTTTTTGCTCTGTTTTTCTGAATTAACGAGTTAATTTTTCATGGAATTTTTTTTTTGCTCTGTTTTTCTGAATTAATGAGTTAATTTTTCATGAGAAAAAAAAATATTTTGCTCTGTTTTTCTGAATTAATGAGTTAGTTTTTCATGGATTTTTTTTTTTGCTCTGTTTTTCTGAATTAACGAGTTAATTTTTCATGGAATTTTTTTTTTTTTGCTCTGTTTTT